TCCAGCAAGATATGCTTAATGCTCCACTTTATCTCTGGATCCACCTTCACCAACCATGGCATCCCAAGAATGAGATCCACACAATGGATATCCGCGAGATAAAAAGCCTCCACAAGTGTGGTTTTGCCAACCAACACTTCCAGCCCCTTGACACAAGCATCGAAATGCTGAGCAGAGGTAGCTGCACCTTCTACTGTGTATGGAAGAACTCCACGTGTGTTCAGGCGATGCTCCGCAACAAACTTTGCCAAAACAAAGTTGTCATCACTCCCACTATCCAGTAAAATCCGCACTGGATCGCCACGGAACACGCCCTCCAGCATTAAAGCTGATTCACGTGTATCCTCGAGCTCCATCTTGTTCCACATACAGTTGAGTTGACGATCAAAAGTCTCTTCCTTCGACCGAAATGGTCGTTCTCGTCATCCTCACGCTGTAAAGCTTGCAACTTTTTAGTATCTGACTTACCGTGAGAAGATGATTGGCCATTCTTCTTGTCCTGCTGCTTGTTCTTCAACTGCAGACAATCAACCTTGTAGTGTCCAAGTTCGCCGCAATGATGACAACCCTGTTTATAATTCTTCACAAAGAACTTCTGCTTCTTGGACCCCTTTGCATCTGAAGTAGTCACCACCGATTTCAACTTGTGATGCTTGTTCCCATCCTTGTGTCCACGGTGATCATCACAATGATTCTCGACAAAAGGACTCCGCGAACGCTTGCAAGACTTGTGCTTGTCATTGTCAAGTCGACGAGCCGCATCAAAGAGCTCCTCCAAACTCTTTGTAGGCTGAGAATGACGCAAGTGTTGCCGCATGCTCTCACTATGTAGGCCATCAATGAAGTAGGACTTGTTCTGATCTGGATCCTTCATTGGAACACGACTAATCAAACGAGTAAGCTTCTCGATATAATCCCCGAGCGTCATTTTCCCTTGCTGGAAATGGCGAAGTTCTGTACGAGCATTCTCCATGTCGTAATGAGGGGCAAAACGTAAACGGAAAGCAGCCTCAAACTCATCCATGGTAGACACTGGTGGTTTCTTATCCGCAACACGGGACTCCTCAAGCCAATTCCACCATCGAAGACCCGCATCACGCAAAACCATCGGAATAGCCACTAAAGCCTCTGCATCTGGAATTCCTTTAGCAGCCAAGAACTTCTTCACATTGGCTAGCCAAGCGAGACACTCGTCCACACCACCATCACCAGAAAAGGTTGGAATCTTGAGTCGATCTACCAAAGAAGGCTTACTTGGAGCGCTACCCCGTCCAGCCTCGAGTGCCTCAACACGCCCACGCATGGTATCCATCATGCCATGCATCTCGTCTTGCATCTCTTGCTGATTTCGATTAAGAGCTCGTAGCTCATGAACCACATCTTGAATGGTCCAAATCTCTGCAGCTTCGTCAGCACCATCGTCGGCACCACCATCGACAATAGGATTCTAGCGTTCAGCTTTGTCGGCCATCGCAACCAATCCTCTGATACCAATGTTATGATCCGGCGCAAAAAGACAAAGATCTAGTTGCCCTAGACTATGCTACGCCACCTCTTGAGGTTCCTCACCACCCAACCACCCCCAAGCTACCTCAAAAGCTCCACTGCACCGCCGCTCCACTATGAGCCCTAGGGTAGGTTAAGTCCCTTACCCTAACGTGCCTTGAGCCTCCCTTTGACCGACGTTGACCATGTAGGTGCCTAACATTATCCATCTTGTGAATCAACATGAGAGCCTCTTGGTAATCTTACACATACTCATAAGCTTGTCACAGAGTATGAGAATCATAATAAAGAATAGTTTTTGCAAATCTTTTACTAAATCTTGCAAATCAATAAAGTAATATATATTTCTATAAACTCAAAAGTTTCATTTCTCTTGTTTGATAGTTCTTGGGTCAATTTTGGTAGGTTGACTTTGACACTCCTGACATTCCTCCAAATCCCGGCCCGTCTACGAGAGAACCCTGATGGTTTTCCATTATTCTGATGATGTAAAGGCCACGTGTATGGCTACAATGCCGTATACTAGTATTAGCGTAGTGGGATTTTGGTAGCCGTCCGATTGGTTTCAATCCAGACCATTCGCTTCTGTATATAAGCTAGGGTTTTTGGGCTAATTGATCCAAGCACTCACAACTAAAGTTTAATTTTATATATAATAATATATAAAGTATTATTATTATTTCATTACCAGTTGGTTTGGGGTTCAAATCCAATGCCTAGGCACAAAACAATAAAGAAAAAACCTTGCAATTGCCTGCCCCTGGGCAGACAGGAAGAAATCATCGCCCACCCTATACTGCCTCAGAAATCACAAATTGGGCAGACACAACAAGATGATGGGATGGGAAGTTTGGGAAGCAATGTGTGGATGTGATCCCCTAACTCGCAAGGCTCCACTCTTTCTTTGCACTCTTGGATTTGGGGAAGAGGAGCTGGGCGACGAGGAGCTGCTGGATACGATGGAAGTGTTCATGAACGAGTCTTACCTCACCACTCTTCCCCACGGACCATGCTTTAGCACCAGCGTTGTGTTCGTCAGGCTCTGGCATGGGACGAAAGCTCTTGGAGGGAGATGAGCCTGCTCATCACTACAAGCTCCACGTCTGTGCTTCGCCTTACAGCACAAACGATTGGGTCTGGCCTATACAGGTATCTGTATCATACCTGGTGCCAAACGAGTAAGAAGATTCCAGAGTAAAATTTTCATGAGTTTTTTGCTATTTCAGTTTCTTTCATGTTCCCTATCCAACCATCAGCAAAATATATAATGCAGTCGATTTCCATTGCAAGCATTTATGTTCAAGTGTTTCCAAGGCTTCACGAGCTGCTAGATGTTTACAACCAGGCCAAGCTTGGGGCTACTTTCCTAAACTTTCTAGAGCTCTGGAAACTAAGCTTTGGTGTTTTCATAGGAATACCCGGCATACCTCGTTGGCATGCTCGACCACCCTTCCGATTTCAGCATTATATAAAAAAGTTTTGGCGCGCTACCAAGAGCCCTAAAAACAAGGATTAGGTTCTTGCAAGAAAATGGAATGGAATGAAGAGAAGGCGCTGGATCCAGCGGTCTTTCCTCCACACCGATGCGATTCCTCCCGCATTCTTCGTCAAGGGCCACTCTGCGAAGAAGGCATTCAACAAGGACGCCGGGATCCGGGAAGAATGCCGCAAAGGGGTCCAGTCGACGCTCAATCTCCTCGAGCAGGGGCAGATCGCCGAGAGCCAGGCTATCTACGCGGCGCTCCTTCGCGACAGCGGTTTCGCGCGGGCGCTGGAAGAGGGCAAACGAATCCACTCCAAAATCTCCTCCTCGATCTCCCATTCGCGCAATCGATTTCTTCTCAATCTCCTCGTCCAGATGTACGCGCAGTGCGGCGATCTACAATCGGCGCGCGAGGTCTTTGATTCCATCCCGGATCAAAATCTCTACTCGTGGAACATCCTCTTCTCTGGCTATGCCCAAAACGGGCATCTCGATCTAGCAGTGGAAATCTTCCACCACATCCCGCGCAAGAACATCGTCTCCTGGAATGCGATGCTCCAAGCGTTCGTCCAGGGCGATCGAATCCGCGAGGCCAGGGATCTCTTCGATCGGATGCGCGAGCGCGACATCGTCAGCTGGAATTCGATCGTCACAGGCTATGCCCGGTTGGGGCATCTGGGCGAGTGCTGCGATCTCTTCCACCAGATGCCCGAGAAGAACACGATCTCCTGGAACGCAATGGTATCCGCCAGCGCCCAGAATGGCCACGCCAAGCTCGCGCTAGGGTTCTTCCGGGCGATGGATCTCGAGGGCTTCCTCCCGGATCGTGTCACTGCCGCGGGTGTGATCAGCGCATGCTCCTCGCTGGGGGATCTCTGGGAGGGCCGATCGATCCACGAATCCCTCGCAGCGGTTGGATTGGAGCGCGAGGCCATTGTCGTGACCTCGCTCGTCAATTTCTACGGCAAATGCGGGAGCTTGGAGGAGGTGGAGGCCCTCCTGCCGCGGATGCCGTCCAACAACATGGTGGGATGGACGGCGGCGATCACGGCGTACGGGCATCACGGCCGGTTGCGGGATGCGCGGGGCATATTCGACGCGCTGCCTGTCCGCGTGGCAGCCACGTGGAACGCCATGCTGTCGGCATATGCCCAGAACGGGCAGCTAACGCAAGCCCTAGGCCTCTTCCGTGAGATGGACTTGGACGGGGTACGCCCCAACGTCATCACCATCATCGCGATCCTTGACGCGTGTCTCAACGCCTCAGCACTCAACGATGGGATCCTTGTCCACGAAAGCATCAAGTGTACGGACCTAGCGTCCGACCCGGCTGTCCGTACCGGCATGCTCAACATGTACGCTAAATGCGGCAACCTCCGGCGGGCTGCTGACGTGTTCGCCGGAATGTCCCGTCCCAACGTCGTGGCGTGGAACGCGATCCTGTCGGCACATACCCAGGCCGGCTGCAACGTGGCGGCCATAGAACTCTTCCACGTCATGCTTCTGGAAGGAAATGTCCCCGACGGGATCAGCTTCTTGAGCCTGCTGTCGGCATGCAGCCACGCTGGTCGGCTGGAAGACGGCATCGGTTACTTCGTGTCGCTCCAGCGGGACTTCGGGATCGTGCCGGAGGTCAGCCTGTTTGGGTGCGTGGTGGATTTGCTGGCGCGCGGGGGGTGGCTGGAGATTTGCGAGGAGCTCATCGAGACAATGCCGGCGAGCGCGGATGTGGTGGCGTGGATCTCGCTCGTCGGCGGGTGTAAAGTCTTTGGGGATTTCAAGCGCGCGGCCAGGGCGGCAGAGAGGGCGTTTGTGATGGATCCCGAGAACTCGGCGCCGTACATGCTATTGTCAAGCATGTACGGCAGTGCCAGGAACAAGGAGGACGCGGAGGTGGCGCTCCGGGCCATGGAAGCCGTCAAGCCAAAGAGCATGCGCTCTTAAACTACTCACAAGAAGAGAAACCAATTTTTTCAGAAGAGATCGAAGAAAATGATCAAAACTTACAAAATTATCTGTGACTTCCATCACCATCATCGCCCAGGAAAATCTCGCGAGCTTCACCACACTTTGCATACATGATCTCGAGAGCTCGCGTCACAGACACGTCCGAGTCGTAGAAGAGTCTCTCGGCTTCACGCTGAATGGACACGCCTGTTTGAAGCAACGCAGCCTTCTCTCTGGAGCTCTCCTCGGCTGCCCCGAGTCTTGCACAGGCCGTGAGCGCGGCGACGAGAGTTTTGGCGTTAGGAGAGCACAGCCTCTGCCGGATCATCATCTGGAACAAGTCGAGAGCGAGCTGGGATTCACCATTCTCCTCGTATCCCAGCATGAGAGCGTTCCACGAGACCACAGTCGGGCTCTCGATCGAATCAAACACAGACTTTGCCTCCACTGTTCTTCCACATCTCGAGTAAGCGTCGATCAAGCTGTTCTCGACGACAGCCCCAGCGTTGTCGTAGCAACCAGCCTCCAGAAACCGAGAGTGGAATTCCTGGACCCTCTCCAAGCTCGAGCAAGCCGTCAAGGCCGCCACGAAAGTCCCAGAGTGGAGCTTGCAAACGCCTTGAGCCGCCATAGCCGAGAAGATCTCCAGAGCTAGCTCGGCTTCGTTGTTGTCTGTGTATCCCAGAATGAGGCTCGTCCAAGACACAGCATCGTGGTCTTTCATCCTGTCGAAAGCTCGCCGAGCGTCTAGCATGGACGAGCACTTGGAATACGCTTCGACGAGTGTGTTTCCCACGAAGAGATCTAGCTGATCACAGCTGTTCTTCCCGGACGCCAAGCAGTGAACTTCCATGCTTCTCTCAAGGCTCTCGATCTTCACAAGTCCTCCCACCTTCCGCTCTTCTTTCATAGCCTTGCGAGAGCACGCCGTGAGAGCAGTCACGTAGACTCTCGGGTTTATCAGCAGCTCGCAGCTTCGATGGATCCAGTCGAAGAGATCGAGAGCCAAGTCGATCTCACCACTTTCCACAGATCCGACCATTAGAGAATTCCACGAGATCACGTCGTGATGCATCATCCTGTCAAACACTGTTCTTGCGTCCAGAACGCTTCCACACTTTCCATACATGTCCACCAGCGAGTTCTGCACGAAAATCTCTCCCAAGTGACCACCTTTCACTGCTCGCGAGTGAATTTCCATCCCCTTTTCCAGGCTCATAACTTTGATCTCTTTCCTATCGATCTCCTGTCCCTGTTCTTCGCCCGCCATGCCCGAGCAAGCCGTGAGCCCCGCTACATAGCTCCGAGCATTTGCTTCGCGGTCCATCGCGAAGAAAAACTCCAAAGCCAGCCTGCTATCCCTGTTTCTCGCGTATCCCATCACCAGAGAGTTCCACAGCGCCACGTCTGGATTTGCCAAGCTCTCAAAGATCCTGCGAGCCTCCGCCATGCTTCCACAGCTCGAGTACATGTCCACGGCAGCGGTGGCCACGAAATTGCTAGAAAGATCTCCAATCCCGGCAGCGTCGTCGTGAATTCTTCTGCCAAGCTCGAGCTCTCTCGCCATGCTGCACGCCTTGAATGCCACGAGGAAGGTGAAAACGTTTGGACCGCCTACCTCGCTGAAGAAATCCCTCCTCCTCGCGCCAGAACACGATCGATGACACCACTGCGATGGAATCGTGGAGGAATCCCAGCCTACATTCGCGAAGGCGTGGATCGCTCGCTCCTTGGCGCGGCATTGCCTCATTCGCCATAAACCCTAACCCCTGTTTGCCTGACCTAAACTTCAGAATTATTGACCAATGCGAGAAATTTTACCGCGGCGGTCAAGTGTTGTATAAGTTCGCCACATATGTTCCCATCTCTCCCTCGATCAAGTCGATCCATCGACGAGAGGAAAGATTTTGGAGCAAAGACGCATTTGGGCGACACTCGATCGATCAAAGTAAGTCGCCCACATATGTTCCCATCTCTCCCTCGATCAAGTCGATCCATCGACGAGAGGAAAGATTTTGGAGCAAAGACGCATTTGGGCGACACTCGATCGATCAAAGTAAGTCGCCCACATCGATCACTTCACGCTTTCTCTTCCAGCTTCGCCCACGTCGATCAATCTCTTCTTCTCGCCCACCACAAATGCCTTTGTCATTCATGCGAACATGTTTTTATAAATCCCAAACAGGATTGGACAATAAACAGCAATACACAGCAAAACGTTACGGGATGTAAAGTACCTGGAAGAAGTGTGCTTTTTACATCGAATAGATAATTAGCATCTGGAAATCTATGACCCCTCTACGTATATGTCTTTAAATATATTGCTTGCCCAAAACTACCTTCCTTGTGACTGCCCAAAACGCATTCCTATGTCTTCTCCAACCTTGCTCTCCATCTGTCATACATATGCACATGTAAAGTCAACCTAGTCAAGTAAAAGTCAACAAAAAAAGTAACTGTTTGTGTCAGCTTTTAAAGGCTGGTCTATCTGGAATACATTGCTAATGCAAGGGCATAAATAATGCTATTCATAAGAGTAATGCTAGTTTACTTTTCGTAATAACGTGTTTTAAAATGCTTGCATTCACACTTAAAAGGTATTATTAAATAAAATGTAAGCCTTCAGAGAGTGGCAACGCGATGATCCCATGGCGAGTTGTGACCGGCATCGCAGGGATCGAGCTCGAGGAATCGCCTTCTTCGACGAGAGCGGCGCTAGGATATGGCAGAGTTTCGATTCCCCCGGCGACACGATGCTGCCCGGGCAAGCGCTCAAATCCGGGATGCGCCTCACGAGCTCGGCCAGGAATGGCAGCGCGGCGACGCAGTTCTCGCAGGGGTTCTTCGCGGCGGCGGTCTCACAAGAAACCCTCACGCTCTCGTTGCGATCCCAGCCATACAATCTCTGGAGGCTGGAAGGATCATCATCGTCATGCCCGGCGGCTCTTGGCTTCTCCGGGAACAATCTCATTCTCGGCCACGATTCTTGCGGCGCCGGGAAATCTCTCGAGATCTTGGCTTCCAGGAGAAGCGATCCTCCTCTCGTTCTTCCGTTTGTTAGGCTGGATCCAAACGGCGACCTTGTCGTCTATGGCCTGGATCGATCCTCCTCGGACTGGCTACCCGACTCGCGATTCGCGGGCGATGATCCGTGCAAGCTGCCGCTGGCTTGCGGCCCCTATGGGATCTGCGAGGCCGGAGGGAAATGCCGATGCGTGGAGATCCACAGCAAGGGGAACGAGAGCTTTGGCGGGAATGCTAGCAGCGGCGGTGCTTGCTCGGCCCCAAGCACAGGTATCCCCCAGCCGATGGTCTGCGAGAACGAGATCTACAATCACCACTTCCTCAACGCTACCGGGATCCGCTACTTCTCCACCGGATTCGTGGCGCCCAGCAAGCGATCCTCGCTCCAGGAGTGCTCCACCGATTGCCTCTCCAATTGCCAGTGCATGGCGCTCTTCTACAACGATCGATCGCGCGAGTGCTTCTTCGTGGGCGATGCGCTGATCGGGAGCATGGCGGAGGATCCGGCAGTGGACGGACTGATTGTGCCAAATGTCATCCCAAAGTCCCAAACTATCCAAGAACAGGATCGTCCAGCTCGTGGCGGGCATCGCCGCCGCCGCGATCGTCCTGGCAGCGGTGCTGGCCGTCCTGGTGTGGAGGAATCGCCGCAAGAACCAGGCCGACAGCGATCTCAACGCGGTGCTCTGGAGCGTCCGCGGGCTGCCCCAGCGATTCTCCTACTCGGTGCTCGTGTCCGCGACCAAGGGATTCTCCCGGAAGCTTGGAGCTGGGGGATTTGGATCGGTGTACGAGGGATTCCTGGGCGATGGGCGGCTCGATCCCATGGCGAGTGTACCAATGATCCGGACTGATTGTGCCAGTACCAGGCTGCTTTGCTCGAGGCCGGAAGGAGAAGTGCGTGGATATTTAAGACAATACCTGAAACGCTTCAGCCATATCTTCCATCTTGAGCCTTTTGAGCCAGAGTACAAGGTGGCAGCTGTGGTTTGTGCGTCTGTGCATGTAAAGAGGACGCTGGCGATCAGTGCCAAGGCTGAGCTGTATAAATATTAGCAAGGATAACAACCTCATCTCAGACAACGCTGTTACAGTGTGCCAGAAGTTTGCGTACCTCGTGTATAGCCTCCTGGTGTCATGAGAGGTGAAGAACCTCGATTTTCATTCCAAGCGATTGGATCCCAGTGCTGTGATGGCAACTTCCAGAAGGTTGGAGATATCACTGCAGGGTACTACGTGACCAAGGATTGTCCAGACTCGCGGAGTTCTTGCTCCGATGCCGTGGGAGTGGCTCATGATGGTTCTATGGTGATGTACCTAGAGACCCAGGCACAATGCACTGTTGCAGCACGTCCAAAATGCAGTGGAGAACATTTGGCTTAGGGATGAAATGTTTTGATGGTTCACTATGAACAATTTAAATAGGCCATTTAATTTAAGTTTCATAATTATTACTTTTCATCACATTTATCCAAGTGAATACCAAGGGAAACCAAAGTCCTTTGGTGTCAAGATTTTAAACTTCTCAACTTTTATAAAGTTAAACATATTTGTGACATTTCTTTTGCATAGCTTGTTGAAATTTAAATTTGTTTGTTAGAAAGTGTAAATTTTAATTCCTTTAGTAATTATTTACATGCAATTGTTGGTAAAAAAAATATATTTTAATTGCATTTCTAAAGGTTGTTGTATTCCTAGTAGAGTCTCATTTCGATTGATGTCTTTCATAAATCCCATTAATGTAAAGACTATGTGATGAAACTATTGAGATCAACACATATATCAAACAACTCCTTAATGTTTTATATAATTTTGTCCTTGATTAATTTGAGATGAATCAAATTAACAATTTCCATGTTTATCATAGGAAAGCGAGTAATAATCTAGTCTAGGCTCTAGTGTCTAAAAGAAAAATTGAAGTGAAAATAACACATGTAGATAATTACTAAAGAAATTAAAATATACATTTTTCTAATAAACATTATATAAAATTCAATGAAATATCATTGATTCATTGAAATTTCAATGATGAATTTCATTTCATTGTGACTTTGAAATCTTATTGCTTTCATTTTAATCAAATTAACTTTCATATCATTTCAATGAAAATGATTAAATTGATTCAATGAAATTAACATTGATCTATCAATGTGACATTGGTAAGATATTGATATATTGCATAAAATATAGAGTAATATCAATATCTTATTTTGAAATATAATACAATATATTTAAGAGCCATGAAAAGATAAATATTTCAAATTGATCATTGATTTTTATTGAATTTCATTTGAATTGAATTGAAATTAAAATGAAAATCAATAAAATGAAAGAAAATGAAATTGATTCAATGAAACTTTAATGATCAATTTCATTTTATTATGACTTTGAAATTTTATTGATTTCATTTCAATTAAATTAACTTTTATTTCATTTTAATGAAATTGATATTGGTATATAAATATAATATTGACAAGATATTGATATATTACATGAAATACAAAGCAATATCAATATCTTGCTTTAGAATGTAACACAAGATATTCAAAAGCCATGAAAAAATGAAATGCATGCTTATCTGAAACAAAAAAACTTTAAAAAACTGGAAAGGTTCATTGTACTCAATAATATTGTCACTAAAGCAAGCATTGATAATCAATCAACAAGTGGCCACTGTTTGATAATGATGCCATGGTCTATAGAAAGCCATCGTTCGGTATCACCCAGTCACTACTTCCCACAGGACTGCCCAGAACTGTGGGAAGCTCGAAGGTCGGAGCAGAAGGGATGTTCTTTTCCTTGCACATCTTTAGCCAGGCATCCAGCAGTCTTTCCCAATAAGCAAGTGTCACAGCTGCTCAAGTTTTGGATGCAAGAGTATCCAACACCCAGTATTGGCATAGCGTACACGCAGCAGCACATTATTACTCCAAGTGCAAGTATCACCAGCGATGGATACTTACCACAGTAAGCTCTGATTCCGTTTCTTCGCAAGTTTTTAAGACGGTCTGAAGAGCTTCACATTCCTTTTTCATTACTTTCACTTGGTGTTGAGCACCCAGCAACTTTTTAGGTCCCATCTGCGTGACAGTAATAGAATGGATTGGCATTACGTACATGAGCGCAGAAACATACCTCCAAAAGCTCCAAAACTGAAGTCGGAGTGACATGAAAATGCCGTTGCTGCTTGCGCGAAATGCTGAACAAAATAGAATGACCGTGTGCAGATTTCTCTTGTATTGCTCCAACATGTAAAGTTCCACCTGTGTGCCTGCTACTCCTGCCTTTTTAGCACGACCCTTGCGGGGTAAAAGTTTGGCACCTGAAAGCAAACCATAAAAGCTTGAGGGCATTCGGAGACTGCTTACGGCTAGTCCATACCTCTCCAGTGTTCAAAATACTATTTATATCTTGGAGAAATATTTATTCTGTTAGTTGAGGATCACTGAAGGCATTGTTATCACCTTTCAAAACCACCTGCAAAGTTCATTCACTGAACACAGTACAAAAAGGAAAGCAAGAAAGAAAGAGAAAAGAGACAAACCTTCAGGCCTTCTCTCCGTTCCATAAGATACATCTTGAATAGCATATAAGTTGCCATGGAAGTGGCCAGTTTAGTGAGAGATTGGCGGGCTACTCCTCCCACTTCCGCTAGCAAAGCATTTCCATAAGGCTGTCGAAGAACACGTTTGATAAGCTAGACAAGAGGATTTCTCGTTTGAGAGTTGAGCTCAGCGACTTGCTCCTCCACAATCGTTGCATCTTCATACCTGTGAAAGAGTTTGTTAACCGGAGTGCGGAATGCCAACGAAGATTGCAATGCACATATACCTCTTCGGAAAGTTTGTCGTATCCATTCGGATGGAATTGGCATAGCCCAAAACGTAGTCGCATTTGAGCTGCAAACGAGACTCAATCATGTTTTGGTCCTCGTCACCTGCACAGACAGATCTCCCATATTGTATGCATAGTGAGGCTCTGGTGGCGTAAGCAGCTGCTCCTTTTGTTGGATACATCGACAAATGTCGATCGTCCCAAGAGCAAGGTTCAGAATGCCACTTATCTGTATGCAGCATGAAGCCAAAGAAATGGCTGCTGGAAAGTAAAAATGAGACGACTTACAACATCTCCAGGATATAAGGCTTCCATTTCGTCCCAGGAAGAATCGCATCTAGCAAAAGAAGTATCTGAAAAGAAGTGGTCCAGTTGTTATAGCCTTGCAGAACCAAAATAGACATCACCTGGAGCTAAGAGTTCCCGGAAAGGATCGCATCTATCAAAGAAAGTCGACCAAAACTCACCCCGGGCATCGGAAAGAGCTGGAACAACGTCAGCGTTGCTCTGGGGATTCCCAATGTCGTCTTTATCTCTGGATCGGGCCTTCCGGAGGGACAATCGTCACAAAGAGCTAATCGGAGAAAGGGAAATCTGTAAATACCTCTTCTTCCAGTGCTGTCGTGCTTTCTCCCATTCTAGCGACGAAAGATTGGTGCGCAGCAAGGTGCATGCGCTCCGAAAGAACCAGCTGCAGTGGGGAAGATTGGCTATGGTAGTTAAGAAGAATCAATCGCTTACCCTTGTCTGAAAGGCGGCGACTTCGCCGGGGATTTCCGATGCCGCATTCTTCTTTATCGCTAGATCGGGTCGAGTTCTTCCCGATCCAAGGGAAAATCGTCACAAAGATCAAAATCGGGGAAATCTCGGAATACCTCTTCCTCCAGGGCTCGATTCGTCACTCCTTCTATTCTTTTTCGTGAAAGATTGATGTGCATTGAGCCGGAGACAAGTGGTGCTCGACTAAACCTTTGGAGGGAATCTTCTCGTGTTTAAATTATATTATGCAACGAAGTTAATAAAGTAGATCCTATTTAACATCTAAGAAATTAGGGCTCCTGCGATATGGGGCGCATGGATGATCATGGAGGGGAAGAAAGCGCAGGGGGCGCTCTATGTGTGCGATCGCCTGGCCCAAGACCTCCTCAATCATCCGCAGACGCCGGAGTTGTGCACCTGGGCGGACAAGAAGAAGTCGTCGGCTGCCCTCTACTGCCTCAGCAATCACAAATTGGGCAGGCAGGACGAGATGCTGGGATGGGGAATCTGGGAAGCAATGTGTGGATGCGATGCCATAAGTCGCAAGGCTCCACACTTTCTTCGCGCTCTTGGATTCAGAGAAGAAGAGGAGCTGGGCGAGGAGGAGCTGCTGGACGCGATGGTGGTGGTCATGCACGCGTCTTGCCTCACCACATTTTCCCGACGGGCCGTGCTTTAGCACCAGCGTTGTGTTTGTGACGGGGAGCCAGCGCTTCTACCAGGCTTTGGCACGGGACGAGAACTCGCCTGCTCATCACTTACGAGCTCCAAGTCTGTGCTTCGCCTTACAGGGCAAACTATCGGGTCTGGCCGATTCTTCCTGACCACACCGAGCCCGTGGAGCAGTGTATCATGCCCGGTGCCAGGCGAAGCAAGAAGATCCCAGAGTGAAAATTTTCCAGTCTCTTTCCTTCTTTTGTTTCTTTTTCATATTGTTTGCTTGTTTTTCTCAGGTTTGGAACTCCCTTTCGTGTTCCCTGTCCGACTATACCCGGAATCTACAATGGTGAATACTGTCGATTGCCAGGGTAAGCGTTTCTAATCAATTATTTCATTGCAAGTTTTTCCACGACCTTCTCACAGGCTTCATGAGCTGCTGGATGTTTACGGCCAGGCCAAGCTTGATCTTCCTGCAGAAGCTGCTTTGGATAGGAGTAAGAGTTTCTCCCCTTGCTACACTTTCTAGAGCCCTGGAAACTCAAAGCTCTGTGTGTTTTTCTTGTAGGAATACCCGGCATACGTCGCCAAGCTCGAGCAAAGTTCTTCTTCCTGTGATCAGCGACTGTTGTCGAGGTTGCAGAAGTTGCCGAATAAGCATCCGGGCTGCGCTAAGGTTGAAGCACCACACGTCTTTCGAGGGGACAAGGTATGGAGGGATTGAGCTAGAGAAAGTTCTCTTCCTCTTCTCTCTGAAAGTTCCAGCGTCAGGTTTTTGATTCCATCCCGGATCAAAATCTTCTCTGGCTATGGGCGTCTGGATCAAGCACTCGAGGTCTTCCACCACATCCCGCGCAAGTCTCCATGACTCTGAGAACGTAACATAGTTTTGTGGCGGTAGCAATTGGGATGAGAGTTGCTAGTTTAAATTATTTAGTTTGCCATTATATAAACATAAACTTTCAAGCAATAGCTTCTCCAGTGGCCTCAGTGGCCTCAGTGGCATTGTATCGTATGACCATAGTCACGTCCAAAGCAGATTCTCCAATCCTTGTGGACGTCACCTTGAACCGGCTATCATGAGTCACTTGCTTATATTGCGCCGCTCCACCATAAGAAACGTCCCAGTAGACATACACTACCTTCGGGCCATCGCTCGCGTAAATATCAAAGGAGCCATCCGTACCAGAGGGAGACCAGCTCCTGCCAGAGGCATAGATGTGGTACTCGCCCCACGCCTTCATTTTGAGACCATCGGGAGATTTAGTCTCCGTGAAATCCTTCGTGGAACGGATCCATTTCCCATAATTGAGCCACGAGTTTTTGACTTCGAGCGTCAAGGGCCCCTTGGTGTAGTAGATTCTCAGTGAAAAGTAATTGCTCTCACCCTTGAGCTTCGAATGAGGTTCTCCTGTTGGTAAATCATCCAAAGCAATTTTACACAAGATCAGAACCGAAAGAGAGAGGATGCATTGATCAAACCAGTGCCGTTGTTGCAGAGATGCGTAGGAACTCGAGGGAGTTCACGAGCCAAGGAAAGAGCAAAGAAGAAGAAGACGAAGAAGAAGAGGGAGGAGGAGAAAACTGCGAGAGCTCCAAGCTTTGCCATGGCTTGGGCAAGATGAGAGCTCTCTTTTATAGAGGGGCGTGTAACTATCCCAGTGGTCCTAGGCCTCCAACTGGTGTACTATTGAAGGTTGGGATGGTTTTATCAATAACATTTCAGCCACCCAGCAAGATATAAGAGACAAGTGAGGAAAATGAAATATCCGTACCAATAATTCAAGCTAGCATATTGTGGATCCTGGCGCCGTACATGTACGGCAGTGCCAGGACGCGGAGGTTGAAGGCTCTAGAGTTTGCTAGAAGAAGAGATCTATGTAATGGAACTTTGGCATGTTGGCCCCCCCTTGGAAAATTGCCGAGTGTTTAATTCGCCATGTTGTGGCGCTCCGGGCCATGCAGGTTGTCAAGCCAAAGAGCATGCGTTCTTAAACATCAAACCCAAAAAGAGTTTTGATTCTCACCAAAGCGATCGTAGAAATCGGTCAAAACATTCAGAATTATCTCTGACTTCCATCACGACTAGGAAAGCTTCACCACATTTGATCAAAACTTACAAATGACTTCCATCACCACCATCGCCCAGGAAAATCTCGCGAGCTTCACCACACTTTGCTCTCGAGAGCTCGCGTCACAGACGCGTCCGAGTCGTAGAAGTGTCTCTCGGCTTCACGCTGAATGGACACGCCTGTTTGAAGCAACGCAGCCTTCTCTCCGGAGGTCTCCTCGGCTGCCCCGAGTCTTGCGCAGGCCGTGAGCGCGGCGACGAGAGTTTTGGCGTTAGGAGAGCACAGCCTCTGCCGGATCATCGTCTGGAACAAGTCGAGAGCGAGCTGGGATTCACCATTCTCCTCGTATCCCAGCATGAGACGAGACCACAGTCGGGTTCTCGATCGAATCAAACCTCCACTGTTCTTCCACATCTCGAGTAAGCGTCGATCAAGCTGTTCTCGACGACAGCCCCAGTATTGTCGTAGCAACCAGCCTCCAGAAACCGAGAGTGGAATTCCTGGACCCTCTCCAAGCTCGAGCAAGCCGTCAAGACCGCCACAAAAGTCCCAGAGTGGAGCTTCCAAAAGCCTTGAGCCGCCATAGCCGAGAAGATCTCCAGAGCTAGCTCGGCTTCGTTGCTGTCTGTGTATCCCAGGATGAGGCTCGTCCAAGACACAGCGTCGCGGTCCTTGATTCTGTCGAAAGCTCGCGGAGCGTCCAGCATTGACGAGCACTTGGAATACGTTTAGATGAGTGTGTTTCCCACGAAGAGATCTAGCTGATCACAGTGGTTCTTCGCCAAGCAGTGAATTTCCATGCTTTTCTCAAGGCTCTCGATGTTCACAAGTCCTCCCACCTTTCTTTCATAGCCTTGCGAGAGCACGCCGTGAGCGCGGTCACGTAGACTCTCGGGTTTATCAGCAGCTCGCAGCTTCGATGGATCCAGTAGAAGAGATCGAGAGCCAAGTCGATATCGCGAGTGAATTTCCATCCCTTTTTCCAGGCTCAGAACTCTGATCTCTTTCCCATCGATCTCCTGTCCCTGTTCTTCGCCAGCCATGCCCGAGCAAGCCGTTACATAGCTCCGAGCATTTGCTTCGCGGTCCATCGTGAAGAAAAACTCCAAAGCCAGCTTGCTATCCCTGTTTCTCGCGTATCCCATCACCAGAGAGTTCCACAGCGCCACGTCTGGATTTGCCAAGCTCTCAAAGATCCTGCCCCCATGCTTCCACAGCTCGAGTACATGTCCACGGCAGCGGTGGCCACCAAATTGCTAGAAAGACCTCCAATCCCGGCAGCGTCATCCTGAATTCTCCGGCCAAGCCCGACCTCTCTCGCCGCGCTGCACGCCTTGAATGCCGCGAGGAAGGTGAAAACGTTTGGACCGCCTACCTCGCTGAAGAAATCCCTCCTCCTCGCGCCGGAACACGATCGATGCCGCCACTGCGATGGAATCGTGGAGGAATTCCAGCCTAAATTCGCGAAGGCGTGGATCGCTCGCTCCTTGGCGCGGCATTGCCTCGTTCGCCATAAACCCTAACCCCTGTTTGCCTGACCTAAAATTCAAATTTCTCTCGCCGTAAATTCAAATTTGAAAAATTCATTGACCAATATTTTCCCACACCGACTCTCGCGAGAAATTTTACCGCGCTTTTTCATCTCCGTGATTGTCTGCTGGAATCAAGCGGTCAAGTGTTGTATAAGTTCGCCACATATGTTCCCATCTCTCCCTCGATCAAGTCGATCCATCGACGAGAGGAAACATTTTGGAGCAAAGAAGCATTTGGGCGACACTCGATCGATCAAAGTAAGTCGCCCACATCGATCACTTCACGTTTTCTCTCGTCCAGCTTTCGCTCAAATCTAGTCTTTCCTTCTTCTCGCCCACCTCGACCAATCTCCTCCAGCTTTTCTTCTCTTCTCGCCCACATCGATCATCATCGACCATCTCTTCTCACCTTCGTTCTCCCTGTTCTTCCAGGGGATCTACTTGGTGGCGATGGAGCGGCGGAGCGGCAGCAAGCCAGCGGCGATCCTTCTCCTTGCCATCCTCGCCTCGACTCTCGCAGCTCACTCCACCGCGCAGCTCACCGCCACCACGAACCCCACCTCCGTCCTCCAGAACCGCCCCGATTTCTCCACCTTTAGCAAGCTCCTCACCGACACTGGTGTCATCTCCGAGATCAACCAGCGCTCCTCCTTAACTCTCCTCGTCCCCCACAACTCGGCCATGGACGCCGTCCTCAATCGATCGTCCCCCTCCAGCACTCCCCTCCCTCTCCCAGTCGTCGCGGATGTTCTTCGCTACCACTGCCTCCTCCAGTACCTCGACGTCCCCCAGATCAAGTCCATGACCAACGAGCTGGGGATGCTGGTGACGAGCTTGTACCAGACCACCGGACGAGCAGCCGGGCAGAATGGATTCGTCAACGTCTCGGTTTCCAGCGATGGTCAGATCCACGCCGGGCTTCCTTTCGCCGCCACCTCGCTCGCCACCGTGAGGACCAACATCACCCAGTTCCCTTACAACATCAGCTACATGCAGATCGACCAAGCTCTCGTCCCGGAAGATCTCGGTCGCCCCCAAGCGGCAGCCTCCAGCATCCTCAACCTCACCAACACGCTGCAGCGATCCGGGAAGTTCACCACCTTTCTCAATCTCATGCAGAGCACCGGCTTCACGGCTGCGCTCGCGACTCTGCCAGCTTTCTCGCTCTTCGTTCCCACTGACGAGGCCTTCCAGGGGCTGCCGAATGGAACCATGGCCGCTCTCTCGCCGTCCCAGGCCTCGAGCTTGATGGCTTATCACACCCTCCCGGCCTACACGAGCTCCGGATCTCTCCAGCGACAGAACAGCCTCGTCCAGACGGTGGCGTCCAACGGCGACAACCAGAAGTTTCTGATCCAAGTCGCTCCATCGGGAGGAAACTCTGGCGGCGTGAGCCTGTCGACTGGAGTTGACACCGCTGACGTCGTCTCCACCATCTACGATCAGCCCCCGACTGCTGCTTACTCAGTCAATCGGGTGCTGCTTCCCAAGGAGATCTTCGTCGTTGCCGCCGATCAGAACAACGGTAGCGCTCGCGCTCCGTCTTCGTCACCTTCGCTTGCACCGGCTCTAGCACCGTTTGTTCCTCCGGTGGCTTCTCCAATCGTCCCTGTTCTTGCTCCACAACAAGCCTCTTCTCCTCAAGTTGGCACCACTTCTGCTCCTCCGACTGTTGGATCTGGATCCGGATCGTCCAGTCCGGCTCCTGTTGTTGATATCGGGAACTTGCCGCCAGCGTCGGGACCTGGTGCTGCTTCCACGGATACCAACCAAAACTCCGCTGCTACTGCTGCTGCTGGATTGAGTGATTCATGGCTGATCTCGTTGGTTTTGGCCATGGTTTCCAAGTTCATGCTAGAAGTTGTTTAAACCGAATTTGATTTCTATAGTTTATATGAATTATACCTCTTGATTTATTTTGATAATCTGGCCGACCATGTATAGCCCCTCCTGCAGAAAAAAAACTAAAATGGGCCATGAATGCCATAAAAGAGCTTCCATCACCTTAATTTATATTGTTTGTTAAAGCTTGGAAGAAAGATGGCGATGGCTGCCGCGAGGATTTTCCTCGTTCTGGCTCTTGTTCTTGCAATCTTCTCATCGGGAACGAGAGCAAGGTCTCCGGCTGCAGATGAAGATTTTGTGAGAGCAGTGGGAGAATTGGCCGCTGCGAAAAGATTCACGAAGTTCCTCTCGTCTATCGATCTACTGGCTCACCTCCGGGAGCTTGACGAGGTGACCATCTTTGTTCCAAACGACGGTGCCTTCTCTTTCGCTCCAGACCTCACGGGGGATGAGCTCTCCAAGATCGTCAGGTACCACATCCTTCCAAGGTACCACTCGTACAGCGCTCTCAGCGAGATGGAGTTTCCGGTGTCCACTGTGGCCTCGGGCAAGGACTCCAGCGCCTACCAGCTCATGGAGATCAATGGGGACTTGATCGCCAGCGGGCAGAACTACGCCGAGATTTCCAGCGTCGTCTTCGATCGCAAGGCTTCGGTGGTGGTGTATGAGATTGACAATGTGCTGATTCCTTTGGAGCACGCCCATGACAGTTGCCAGGAGCACGCTGCCGCGCCATCACCATCACCGCTGGTAGCACCATTGCCGCCCCCTACCCAGGTACCACCATCGTCATCACCATTGCCATCGCCATCACCATCACCAGCCCCTACTGAGGCATCCTTTCCACCATTACCATCATCATCACCATCGCCCGCTCCTATTGAGGTATCCCTTCCACAATCACCATTGCCACCCCCTACCACACCATTACCACTGCCATCATCATCGCCATTGCCAGTGTCATTGCCGGAGGTATCCTTTCCACCTCGCCCTACCGAGGCATCGCCTCCCCCTCCTCCACCATTGGCGTTTAGTGGATCATCAAGCCCTAAGCTATTGTCTTGGCTCGTATATGTTGCGGCATTGCTAGCTCTGGTATGTTAAGATACATTTTGATCGAAAAAACCAAAAGCTTAAAATTAGTGACCTAAAGTAGAAAATAAGTTTATTTTGTTCGTATATAAATCTACTAAAATATCGGTTTACTTTATTAATAGCAAACTTGAATGTATTTATTAATATTTAACCGTTCTTAAACAAAACTTTGGTTTACTCGTTTCTAATTTCAAAAGGTTAAGTTTTTTTTAAGTTTTCACGATTTGACACACATAGAAATGTCCACGCCCGCGACGTCCATGGCATTACACACCCATTCCGGAACATCTCCTTTTGGATACTAAACATCAAAACTTTAATCACGTATCTCAATCAACGTGAAACTAGAAAGCTCTACCTGTTTTTGCAAGAAATCTTGTACAAACCTGCGAGCATTGGAGAAAACAACCATGACGCTAGAAGTTTAAGAGACCACTTACTCTGGAAATCGACCCTCGAGAATGGAGGTATGGAGATCATTGCTAAGCTGCCAGTAGCAAAGTATAAAACCCCAGAAAGAGTTTCACCATGATCTTACCCGCATCATGTAAAAAACATTGTGATAGGAAACCAGCTGGGATCCCATGGCTTCTTTCGTCACCAGAGTGTGAATGTACGCTCGTGTGTAGTTCTTGCAAACCTTGACAAAGCAAACTCACAAAAGAATGCATGAATCTTTCTTTGTTTCTTTGCGTACCATGCAGGAGCAAGAAGCGTCGATCGGTCGAGTGTCCGTCGCCATTGAAGCGTGTTTGAGCTTTAAAACACCCTGCCAAGAGTTGTTGAAGCTCCTGTTAGAACACGGCGAAGAAACGAAGAGAACAAAATTCCAACCTCGGGGACTAGAGCAGTGCCGAAACGAGCAGTTCTCGTTGGGTAGACGCAATCGTACATGTCCGCTCCAAGAGCACTACACACAACAATGTCGAGTGGAAATCCAACACCCTGAAAACCAATCCAAGGAAGAAACTTTAGAAAACTATCCATCCTCGCTTTATTGTTTCGAAGAAAAAAACAGTAGAGAATACCATTACGTAGCGAGGCTTGTCATCTGGAAGACCCGCAGTGCACTGCGCTACAACTCTCCAAAACGAGTCCTTTTCTTCTCCACCTGCGAGCCCACCAATGGCATATCTGTGCACGGCGTCAAGAGAGAACAAAACAAACCAGAGTTTTTGATGGAATTCAAGGACTGTACCCTGGCAAATTTCGCTCCACCATGCCTTTTACGCATATATCCCTGAAAATAGAAAGACAAAACCCAAAAGAAAGAGCCACACTTGGAAAAACTTTGCTTTTTTTCTTGCCTGAGATGTGGATCGAGACCTCCTTGTACTATTCCGAATAGATTTTGATCCCTTGGCCTTGAATGCGCTGTAATCTCGCGACAAGAATCATGTAAGTTTTATTCAATCTCGATAAACTGATCGAGGAGATACCAGATATGCAGCGATCGATCCACCGGAGAGTCCGATACATCGCTTCCTCGACGCGAGGGCCCGTTATAGTTGTCTTGACAACGTCGTCGAGAGCCATGATCACATCGGCTCCAATCTTGTTCTACGTAGAATTTTTCCAGTCGTGAAAATGAATCATCCATGAAAGAGAAGAAAAAACGAGAATCCAAACCTGTATCCTTATAGACTCTTCGGGTGTGAGGAGCATTTGCTTGCCATCCACAGGCGACTGCAACCATTTTCACCTTCTTTCGTTAGAATCCATCCAAAAAACATGTAAAGAAATACCTGAAACGTCACTCCCTCTTCAGTGATGTCTGCCAAGTGTAGAAGTGATACCTATTTCGCAAGAAAAAAAATTCACAAAAACGTTTTTCGAGCAGAAAAATAAAAACGCTGGACTCACCATTTGAAAGCCACCGGAATCCGTGAGCAAGCCCCGTTGCCAGTTCATAAACTCGTGAAGGCCTCCCACAGCATCCAGCAATTCCGCTCCAGGTCTCAAAGCGAGATGATAAGTGTTTCCCAAAACAATTTGGCAGCCAAGCTCTTCCAGCTGACCGCTAGTGAGACCCTTTATCGAGCCTGGCACCCCCAAGAAAAAAAAAAGTAAGAAAAAAAAAAAAAAACCAAGTTTTATAAGAAGAGAAAACCAAAGATGTTCTCGACCTTGAGTTCCAACTGGCATGAACATCGGAGTGAGGCATTCGTAATGTGGAAGCGTGAGTTTTGCTGCGCGAGCTCGCTTATATCTTGCCAATACCTGAACAAAAACAAATTTCTTTCGCCTGTAAGAATCACACACACACAAAAGACGCACAAAAACGAAGAAAAAAACCGCTTGCCTCGAATTTAAGAGCGCACATTTTCATTCCAGCGCTCGCTGCTGCTCCTGCGACGCCAAACCAAGAACAAATCCCTACCCCGCGAAGAAGCAAAAAAAAAAAAAAAAACGCGTCAGGAGTTTGCATTCCTGGACCATCGTCTTGACCAGAAACAAGCAGAAAAACGCCACAGAAAAAATCGCGCACGAGATTTCCCATAAACCCTAATCCAACAGAAATCAAATCTAATGCCCACCTCGCCAAATTTTTTTCCACTCCACACGACCGGCGCCTCGACGAGGACGCTCCTCTGTTTTGCTCCACTTCTTGGAGCGGTCACCGGGAGCAGCCGGTCGCCAGCTCACGTGGCAAGAATCTAGACGCGTTTGCTCACCGGACAAGCCCGTTTGCCCTAAAAGTGCAGCCACGTGCTCCAGACTTTTCGGAGTGGCGGCGGCTAGGGCTTTAGATTCTGTTTTTTTATACACACATTGTATACAGTACAAAATATTTATACAGTACAATCTACGTATAAAACACAAAAGGAAGAAAAGAATGCGTTAGACGAGATCAGCGATGGCGTCTTCAATGAGCTCGTTGAAGAAAGAATTTTCTATCTGTTGGCAGACGTTTGCGAATCCACTCTCGGCTTCCACCCAATCTTTTCTCCTCTCCTTTTGGAGCTCGCCATTGATCATCGACTCGAGACTCTGCTCCCCGGATCGCTGTAAGCTGTGATGCTCGGACATGGAGCTCCAAACTTCGTGTAGCAGCTTTTCTTCTCGTCTCCTGCCACTGTCACTGAGCTTTGGGATCATTGGCTGCGCGGACAAAATCTCGTTGGCGAAGTCGAAGATGAGCCACCTGTTGATGGCGCGCGAGTGGATCTTCATTGCATCGATGGCGCTGTCTTGGCTGCTTTGATCTCGACTGTATTCGTCTTCCAGTTTCTCGAAGACAGTGGAGTCGAGCTTGGTGCCGAGTTCTTGGATCCTGCTGGACGCTGTCGCCGCGGCCGCCAGCTTTCTCACGTAGATCAAGTCGTGTTGTCGGCCAGGAGAACAAGAAAGTTCCTGTGATGGCGGAGGTTTACACTCTTCGTGCTGTGGCTCTGCCTGGACAATTCTTTGCAGAGCTTGCGACGTTTGGGAACCTGTCACACGAAGATAAGTTAGTCCGTGGCAACGTGTTCACTAAAGCAAAGAAAAAAAATTATTAGAGTAGCTCACTAGTGGCAGGCTTGGACATCGATCTGTCCTCCTGGTGGGCGACGTCATGATCATGCTCGTCCTCATCAAGTAGATCCAGGACAGACACTGGGCTGGTGCTATCCGCAAAACTTTTCAATCCGTGCTTGGAAGTTACGCTTGAAGAATCCTGAAAAGACAGGAGTAAGACACAAGACTGGCGAGAGAAGGAGATTGCTCACCGGTTCGTTTTTTGTTGGTGTTATAGTTATGCAGTCCTCGTCCGCGATCTCAGCAACTAATTGATGTTTAACAAGGTGACAGTGTCCTTTTTGTGGTTCAAGCCAGACGTCAGCCAAGTTCTTGGTGTCATCTCCTCCATCGGGCTTCGGTTTTGAAGACTTTAGCTTTGATTTCCTCTCAGCTGTTGCTCTGTCGCATTTTCCGTTGGCAATTTCCCTCGAGTCGTGTGGTTTTGGAGGCTTAACTGCGTTGTTACTTTTCTGTCTCGGGGGCCTGGGGGACTCGTCCAAAGAAACGGTAGATCTCGGACTAGGATTTCTCGGGCTTGCATCTAGAGAGTTCAATTCCCTGTGTCTGGCAGTGTTTCTCGGAGAACTTGACTTGGATTTCCTTTCCGTCACTGGTTTCTGAGCCTTCGCACTAGCATTCTTTGTAGAGTTGGTGTCATCCCTGGATCCAGAATTTCTAGAAAGACGCTTTGATCTCGGTGACACAGATTCAGGCTTCCTCTTATCCAAGTCTGTCACTCTTGTGACATTTTTCCTTGCACTAGCGTCTAGATCACCAGAAAACTCGGACTCTGGCTGGCTCAAACTCCGCGAATGCCTGCTTCTTGGTGTATCGTCCGACTTATCAAAACTTCTGCTAGGTGATCGCTGTGGTGACCCGGATTCCACCTTCGAATAGAATGTTTTTGCAACTTCCTTCGATATACTCTCCTTGATCTTCTTCGCAATCAGCTTAGCAATGTCCTTCCTGTCCTTGACCGTTTGCTTTTCCTGCTTCGATTCTCGTTCTCGTTGATCTTCCTGCTTTGATTCTCGGTCTCGTTGATCGGTTCTCTTCCTTGGTTTCAGCACCACTATACTAGACACCTCGTGTTTTTCATCCCGACTCGTTAGAAGCCTGCCGCTGTCACCATTCAGCACCTTGGACTGCTCTTTCATCAGAGGACGAGGACTTGACTGACCGCTCAGAAAACGAGGAATCCTTCCCGTCGGCAACTTGTTTTCCCGTTTACTTTCCCGTGTCGACGAAGCAGAATCGTTTCTCTGTGAGATGGCCTCCAAAGCTCCCGAGCTCCGAAAATACTTCTCGAAAAACTGCCTATTTGCCTGTAAGAGTTCCACCGCGTCCAAAAACTCGCTTGAATCGCTAAGTCCCTTGCGAGGCTGCTGCTGCTGCCTTTCCACACCAGCCTTACCCTGCGCCATCTGCTGCTTGGCTTCCTTGAGCTCGTCCAAAACTCTCATGTGCTTGGCCAGGAGCTGCCGGTTGAGCTCGTCGAGCTGTATGGATTGCAAGCACTCGGCCCCCTGGAGTACCGCTCGCACCTCACGCACATCTTTATGCCGGTCGTCAAAGGCTTCATCAAAACTCCTCGACTTCTGAGATCTCGTGACCCCTCCATTCAGCCGCTTCCCTGACACTGTGATATCTACCAGTGTGTTGGAATCCGGCACACGCTTTTCCAACAACACCACGGCCTTTTCCTTCTTCCCTGTCGTAGCTGGCTCCGCCGGAAGAGCCTCCAAACCCATCAGCCTGGCCACCACACTGGGAGTCCTGTTCCTACTCGACATCTCCTTGGTTGCTCCTTCTTCCGGGGTGGTCTTTACGTTTGCTCCAAAGAGTGACTTGAGTTTCGCCATGGTAGTAGTCTTCCTTCCTGGGCCATGGAAGCAAGCCGCTAAGTAAAAGAAGAAACTCCAACTCCAAGCATAGCTTACCTCTAGGAATCGCTAGAGACTATGATGGCTGCTACGAGCTCTCGCGGCCAATCCACTCCTATACAGTTTTGGAGAAGAGCATTGATTCAGACCACGCTGTAGTGTAACGCAGATTTCTTGTACCTCGAAATTCTCACTAGTCGCCGTCGAAGCATCAGGAATGCGTGTGTAGCGCCTCTCGCTCCAGGCACGAAACGCATGCCCCGCCTTTGGCCTTGCCAGTGGAATTCTCGCCTCACGTACAGCGAAATCCAGCGAGGTCTTTGAGAATCACACCATTTTCTTGCGCAGTACCAGGCGCCAGGACCTGCATTCCGCGATGCAAGGAGAGATTTCGGATCATCGGCGGGAGAGGAAAGGATCCTTGCTCACCTCGTATCTTTCTCACGCATCGCAATGGCGGCCGCCACGATCGAATTGACACCGAGCACGAACCCTACCAGGGGTTTCTTTCTCTTTCGTCGCGCTCTCCAAACAGAGAAGAAGAAGAGCCTCTCTCTCACCTCTAAAGCCTTTCACTTCCCTCCCTCGGCGACGAAACTGTCGGCCGTCCATTTCACTCGCATCGACGGTCACCATCTCGACTCGTGGCCCAATCCCCGAGCGCCGGCAAGCCCAGCCGTCCGATATCTACAACCAACGGCGCCGATCCCACGCGGTGGGCCCCGTCGCAAAACGTGGCGCCAGGTCACGCCGCATTTTCCTGGCTTAACCATTCCGTTAAGAAAAGAATATCCTCCAGTTAGAATGTTTGAAAAAAACAACGAATATTTTTTCACCTGGTGAGGAAAAAATAGTGTTTTGACATTCATGTGGCGCGAATTAATGTGTCTTTGTTTGATCTGCGGCAGTAAAGTTAGCTCTACATTCCTTTAAAAGCAGCAATTCAAGCGACCAAACTTACGCTCAATCAATCAAGCTCGCTCGATCGCTGGCGCGTCCAAATCTCGCAAGATCTGCGAAAAACTCTCCCGTGAAGCCAAAGAACACTTGAGTGATCTTCTTTTCTTGCCTGTGTCGTTGGTTGCTTTGCTCCTCCATTTTGCTTTCGGCCACTGTGTCCCTTTCATGTCAAGAACAACTTCCATCGCTTAGCGACTAAACAAAGGGCCCTGCAACACGCAGTGACATGTCATGGCACGATTCCAGACATTCGTTCCTTGCTAGAAACAGAGCGAGCGGAAAGAAAAGATAGAAAAACAAAGTACCTTGGGTGGAAGAGAAGAGGAGGAATTCGTTGTTTTGGCTGGGAGCGGGAATGTTTCTCCCAAGTACTCGCTTCTCCTGTACGTTCGGCAGCAAAAAAAACGCGTCAAAGTCACAACATAAATTCCCACGAAAGTGAATTTATTATTTCATGTTAAGATCTTACCAGTGAAGAGTGAGAAGCGAGCATTCAAACTCAGCGTCTTGAAGAGAAAGCTTTCACGCATGGCTTTGTTCGGGCTTTTGATTAATCTGATGGTGATGGCTTTGACAGTCCGGACAGGAGCTCGTGAGCTAGCTGCAGTTGAGGAGGCTCGTCAGATAACAGACATAACGCACGCTCTTCGACAAGATTTACCCGTGTGGGATTCCAAGGAGGGACTCGGAAAGGTTGTAAGTCTCGTCGCAAGTATCGTCAATGGATCCCTTGTCAATGTCTCGGAACTCAAGCTCATCGTGCACACTGGAACACATGTTGATTCGCCAAGCCATTTTCTCCAGAAGGATTTCCTGAATGGAGTCGACACCACCAACAGTCTCAAGCTTGACATCCTCACTGGTACACAGCCAGTTAGTTTTTCTTAAACCAAGCATTTTGTTACCAGGACTTGTGCTTGTGGTGGAGACACCGAAGGATCAAAACATAACAGCCGAGGTTGTCAAGAACGTCGTCCCCTCTGGAGTTGAGCGCGTGCTATTCAGAACACTGAATACAGAACGGTTAGCTCTCCAAGAAAAATGAATTGAGAGGAGAATCTGATAGTAAGCCATAATCCCAGGAGGCTCATGTGGAAGCGAGAGTTCACGTCGGATTTCACCGCACTGACCAAAGACGGAGCAGAATGGATAGCTCAGAACACATCCCTTAAGCTCATCGGTACGTTCCGTTTGGTGCTTCTTTGTTCTCACGCGCATATATACAGGACTCGACTACCTTTCCGTCGGAGTTTACAACGAGCCGGATGCGACGCACAAGCCCCTCCTGAGCAAGGTGAGTTGAGTTAGCCTGCTTTATCAATGCTGCAATATATGTTTACCTTACAGGGAGTCGTACTCGTGGAAGGATTGAACTTGGACAACGTTCAATCCGGTTTCTATACGCTGAATTGCCTTCCAGCAGCATTAATCGGCTCTGATGGCTCGCCTACTAGATGCATAGTAACTAAATAACAAAACGAAGAATGTAAATAGAAAGCGTTGAATCGGTATTTCCCGAGGCTCGCCTTACAGACGTTTTCCTTTACAGTAGTTTACGTATGGAGCATAGTTTTGCTGCCATTTCTCAAAGTCCATTTGCAAGCGCTCCAAGGCCCCAAACGTTGACGGTTCAAATTCATCTGTCAGCAGGGAAAGAAAATCAAAATAAGAATATCGACTGAGAGCAGACGAACCTGATTTGAGTCGCCCGAAAACTTTCGACGACCCAGCTTCTCCTCCAACTAGTTCTTGTGATCCAACATAAATCTGGGATTTCATGCTGCCAGTGCTCGATGACGATGATGCTCCAGAATCTGAGTGCTTTGAGTGGAATAGTAACTGCTGGGACAAATTGAAGCTTGCATCTTCACCTTGACCAAGAGACACAATTGGTTCTTCCTGTTTCTTTCTTAAGCTGGATGTTACTGTTTCAACCGCGTCACAGGCAGCTTGGAAGCTCTCTTTTGTTGCCTTTCTGTTGCCTTCCTTAGCCTGAATTTCCAGAAGCACCGGCAACGGAACTGGAACCGGAGTTTCTTGCATTTCCAAATATTTCAGCGGTGGTCGAAGATAAGGTGTTCTATCAGTAACATCAATATATCCTGTGACGTTTGACGGCATCTTTGCTGCGTGTAGTGCTAGATCTTTTGATAGACCCATGAGCAGTACCTTAAACGATATCTCATGGCTTGAAAATCGTCAAGACACACAAAGAAGAAGCCAGGAAAAAGAAAAAGGATACTTCGAGAGAAAGACTTCAACGTCCGACAAAACCTTGTATATGCGATCCTGGTAGTCTTCCACAGGGTCCATCACTGTTGCCTTCAGCCCTGCAAATCACCGCAATTCCAGTCAAAACTAGTACAAGCACAGTCCCATAGTATACGTTTGCTTTCATGAGATGACCCCAAAGCCGCAAGACAATCCAGTCCGTGTTTCACGTCTGCAAAGAAAAACAGCGTCAGAAAACACAACGCTTCAGAAGCTAGTCATACAGTTGAGCATAGCTGGGAAAGAGCAATTTTTCATAACAAGCTTCTTCTTGTTCTTAGCTGCATATATCATGGTTAGAGGAGAAAAACCATGAAACAATTCAAACCCACCTATTAAACGATCAGGATACTCGCACAACTTAGTGCTCTTTTCTCTCTTCAAGGTCTTGGAAGCGATATAAGGTTGATTCAGAATGTCACCTGTACCCGTAAGTTGCAACAAGCTGAAACCAGTCTTTGCCCCAGGCAGAACCGCAACTCCAGACAGGCTTTCAATATAGCTGTCCTGCGTTCCAGTGGAAAGAGAATCATAAAGTGCCGTCATGGATAGTTTCCGAGGACGAGAAGTGAAAATCTTAGACGGAAGATCCCACGCACAGTACGCTTCCTCTATCTCACGAAATCTGGAACTTGCTCCTGACACGATTGCAGTAGATGGCGCTTGAGGACCATAGCAGAATGCTCGAACATCACCAGACCGAAAGCTCGCAGCCAGAATAACTCTTCCTGCACGACATAATCATCAAAACTCACGTTACCTGCAAACTCATTACCTGCGCCATTATCTTCCTCAGGCCGGAGCCATGACAGAGGATGCATAGACAAATATCCGGGAGAATCGTCGTGCATTGAGTGTTCCCACTACAGAATGAAAAAGGGAAAAATCAAGAATCAGGCTAGCAGAAAGTAGAAGATACAAACCTGAAGTAGTGGCATTCTTGGCCTGCGAATGTCGAAGAGCATGATATGTTCCATAGTTGCAGCAGCAAAATGATAACCACGATCCTCAGGGCGCACTATAGCTACGAAGCGATCCTGTTCGCAGCGCCTCTGATGGCAGTAATTTTTGCTGTTTCCAACAGTACCAAGTAGAGTAGTCGCGTTGCCATGTCTTAAGTCGGATAAAAGAATGTCCTCTGCGTTCGCTATGACAAGCAGCTTCGGATGCCAACCATACTCGACTCGCCACCAGCTCCGCCTGAGATTCCAAATCTCGGCAACCACAGCCTTTGGAAACTTAGCAGCGCCACTTCCGTCGGCCGTTGCAGCCTCGACCATGCGCGCCTGTACTACAAAGTTCGCTCGTAGATTGTTTGTAGACTGTTTAGTGGAGTGCACATTGTAAACGAAAACCTCCCCAGACTCCAGGACAGTTGCAAGTTCTCCCTCGATATAAGGACTCCAGACCACCTGCGGAAGCCGCATCGTGATCCACCATCATGAAACACAAAATGAAAAGCTTACATGAGATACACCCTGGCGGTAAGTCGTCACTGAGCGTGAAGCAAAGCATACACGATCTTCCTGTAAACTCCTGATCAAGCTATCGAAGCCCAAAAAAAAAAAAAAAAAAAGTTACTTCTCTTAGAACGTTCATAACATGTACTTGATGCTGAGTCCTAGCTACTAGGATGTTCTCATCTACACTTGAATTCGAAATCTTCATCGCTGATAACTGAAACCGAAGTAAAGAAGAGAACGAGAGAAAGAGGTAACAAGTACCTGGCGGATGGGATGATTCAATGTTGGTGAGACTGACATTCTCACGCCACCGAGCCACTCACTGTCCGGCTCGTCCTCTTGCTTTTTTAGAGGACACAAGCGACCAGCGGGATCACGCTCGCAAAGTATGCTTCCTATACTGTTGAAGTTCTCACCAACGGGAAATGTGAGCTGGAGCTTTCCATCTTGACACTGCACACACACACACACACACACACACACACACACACACACACACACAGGAGAAGAAGAAGAATAATCAAATGAGAGAACAAGAGTAAGAAACTTAGAACACACTTGCATACACTCCAGTCTGTTTCCAAAAATGTTGTTACTGTCGTGGATCATAGCAACCTTCGCAGCTGTGTCCTCCTGGACGAGCCCGTGGAGGAGAGAATCGGGGGTGTAGCCGATCGATGCGTCCTCCTCCGCGTAGCGTGATTGCTGCGGACAAAACAAGCGCACAATGAGAAAAATCCAGCATTGGGGTCGAAATTTTCGAGAAACCTTCTCAAGGGGAGGAATCGGATGATCAAAGAGATGTAGCTTACACCCCGTCGACAGTATTTGTTGAGGCTCTCCCACGGAATCAAACAGCAGAGGCCCGCCTGTAGAAGACGATCGATCAATCAGAGCTGGAAATATCGCTAGATCGAGCTTACGATCGGCGCCGGCTCGCAAATGTGGCGCTCGAAACACCGCGCCAATGCACCACGGCGGTGCCGGTCCCTGGAAGAGATCCGCCATCGCTGCCCAAAAACCCTAAACCTCGAGAGTAGAGGCAAAGGTATATTCCCGATTTGATTGGAAGGGCTAGGTTTTTTCGTTTTCCATCGCCATGGATGTGCTGTGGGCCGTGGCGATCTTGGCGATCCTCTTCTACCTCTGCCGCCTCCTCATGCTGCTCATCCCGCCCGTGGTGCCCGAGATCGTGGTTGATACCTCCGACGGTAAGCGCGATTCGATTGATTCCTTTCTCGCATCGATCAAGGGATTTTCTTGGCGCAGTGATGCTGGGCAAGGGCGGGGACGACGATAGCTATATCTATGTAAGCTACATTCTCATGTGTGTGGAGTGAGCTAGGAAGCAGCGAGAAGGAAAGGTCTTGATCTGGAAAAATGTCTTTCAGGTGGCTAGAAGGAGGAGTGGCGACGAGGATACTGTGCAGTGTTACGATCCGGCTACCATGAAGTACCTCGGCCAGTTACCTGCATTGAATTTCGATGAGGTGAGCGAGCTGGGAAATTTCTTTGCGCATTTTTCTCATGTTCTTCTTCTTTTTCTTCTCTTGGTTTTGGAGTTGTCCAGGTTAGTGATCACGTCGCCAGAGCCCGAGAAGCTCAGAAGAAATGGGCTCGGAGTAGCTTTGAGAAGCGACGACAGCTACTGAGAATTTTGCTCAAGTACACCATCGATCATCAAGAGCTCATTTGTGAGTAAGTGGCTTGCGTACAATGATGTGCTTATACGAGTTTGTTTTTCGCATTTCAGAGTGTCAGCAAGAGATTCTGGAAAAACTCTAGTTGATGCTGCGCTGGGGGAGATTTTGACAACTTGTGAGAAGATAAGCTGGCTCGTTGGCCAAGGCGAGCAATGGCTTCAGCCGGAATACAGGCTCGTAAAGCTCTTCATGTTGTTTTTCTTTTTCTTCTAACATTTTCGTTTTTCTTTTCTTAGATCTGCTGGAAGAATGATGCTTCACAAGACTGCAAGAGTAGAGTACTCACCTATTGGCGTCATCGGGGCCATCGTTCCATGGAACTATCCATTTCATAACATTTTAAATCCCATGGTCTCTGCAGTGTTCGCTGGCAATGCTATTGTTATTAAGGTATGATCGATCTCTTCTCTTCGATGGCTGCTAAACGTTTAACTTGCAAAGGTCTCAGAGCATGCAAGCTGGTCGGCGTTTTTCTATTCTCGAATTATCAAAGCTGCTCTTCGTGCCGCGGGAGCACCCGCTGATCTTGTTCATGTCATCACAGGGTACGCGAATTCTTCTATACTCTTGCATTTATCTTGAAGAAGTCTGGCAGATACGGTGAAACTGGAAAAGCGCTTGTTAGTCTTGTGGACAAATTGATATTCGTTGGCTCAACAGCCGTCGGGAAAATGGTAGCTGTTTGAGTTTTCTATCTGGTCATTTATGTTGTATCGATGCAGGTGATGGAACAAGCTGCTAAAACATTAACTCCTGTGGTTTTGGAGCTCGGTGGAAAAGATCCTTTTATCGTCTGTGAAGACGCAGATGTTTTACAGGCAAGTTTTCTGTTGGCTAAGTTTTTCTGTTGAAACTCGAATGTTTTTTTCGAATTTGTCCAGGTTGCTCAGATAGCTGCAAGAGCGGCTCTGCAGTCAAGCGGCCAAAACTGTGCCGGTGCCGAGAGATTTTACATTCATGCTCAAATTTACCAGCAGTTTGTGGATGAAGTAGTAAGAATCGTGAGAACAGTCCGAATGGTAAGTGAGGTTTTGTAATCTCGACTCTCGAATCGTTCGAACTCTCTTCTTACAGGGGCCACCTCTAGAGGGTCTGTTTGACATGGGAGCAGTGTGCATACAAGAACACACTGATCGCTTGCAAGCTTTGGTAAATGACGCTGTTACTAAAGGTGCCGAGATTGCAGTTCGTGGAGATCTGGTTCTCCCAGATTTTGGGAACTCTGTCGTTGGACAGTTTTATCCTCCGACTGTTCTCTTGAATGTCAATCACTCAATGCGCTTGATGCAAGAAGAGGTATGCAGCTTTGTTATCCTTTTCATTTCCAAGTGATTTACATATGTGAAGCTCTGTCTAGATCTTTGGTCCAATAATTCCCATCATGAAGTTCCACAGCGACGAGGAAGCTATCACTTTGGCAAATGACTCCAACTTTGGACTAGGATGCTCGGTTTTCTCGGCCAACAAGGAGCGAGCTGTTGCTATTGCTTCGAAAATCTACTGTGGAATGGCGGCTATCAACGATTTTGCAGTAACTTATATGTGCCAGGTACTCTAAACTTTTCTTCGTCCATTTTGTAAAGCACCAGGATTGCCTCTTCTGCAGTCTCTTCCTTTTGGAGGTGTGAAGAACAGCGGTTTTGGAAAGTTTGCCGGCGTTGAAGGGCTTCGAGGCTGCTGTCTGGTGAAATCTATCGCCGAGGATCGATTTTCCTTTTTCAAGACAGTGATTCCCAAGCCACTTCAGGTAAGAAAACCTCACTTTTCCTTCACTGTGTAGTAATCATCCTCGTCTTCGCTGTGGCAGTATCCCGTAGCGGAGAATGCTTTTCAGTTTGAGGAGGCTCTGGTAAGAATGTTTTACGGGCTTACAGTCGTGGAAAAGTTCCAGGGCCTCGTCAACCTGGTGAAAATCTTTACAGAACAAAAGGACGTAAAAAAGACATTGTAAAAAACGTATAGTACAAATTGTTGACAATTACCATGACTTATAAAGATTCAAGAAGCCTGAAGGAAATCCTTTACTGTTGCTGGTGTTCAAAAACAAATATGAGTACATGGTCATGGTTGTGATATTTGCTATTGTGTGATCAAAGACAAAGATAAAGACATAGTCATGGCAGTGATATTTGTTATTGGGTGTGTGATGTTGTAATTAACTTCAAAAAAGGATGAAAACTTTTATTGCAAAATTGTCAAATTTTATAGCTGGTTGATTTTTCTTGCAAGGGTCTGCCCAACACCAAGCATCGATGGGTTATTTTGAAGAGCTGAAGTGAAAGTTGGAGATGGTACTATACTTTTCCATTTTCCATGCATTATATAATAATATACACTAATTATTTAATTATCCAACTTTCTTGTAAGTAACTCTCTCATGAATACGCAGGCAAACACAAAGCAGCAGTAAACTCTGTCCCAGTGCCCGGGCATACTCGGCTCATTCTTACAATAATCATTCGTCTTGAAACTCTTATCAAGATGCTTATGAATGGATCTCACTGCTGCCTCGATAGCACTCTCTTGCTGCAGCCATTCGGATAATTGAATGGCTCTCTCTTTGACCTGAAAATAAACCTGGTTATAACAATAATTTTGAAAAACAGCAAAGAAAAATCGAGCAATACTTCAGGCTTGATCAAGTAGAGAATAGACTGGACCATTGTCTGCAGGGAGATTTGAGATATGTGGATCGGTGCTGGTCCAGCCCCATTTGAATGAACAATTTCACCCCAGAGCTCTTGATCACTACATGCATGGACCACTGCTGTTGGACACTGCACAATATATTTGCCAAGGTCGTAATTCAGAAGAAGAAAATGAGTCCACAATTTTGTTACCCCAGCCCTGAGGCTTGCAGCAACTGTGCCAACGCCTCCGTGGTTGATGACTCCAGAACAGCGAGGAAACAGCCAGTCGTGAGGAATTTCATCCAGCACGTAAATGTGGTCTGGGAATTCAGCTGCAAGGAGGATGCAGAAATTCAATCGACTAGTGATATAATGAACATGACTTGGTGTACTTGATTCACCACCCAGTCCAGCCCAGCCCTTGGAAATGATCCCTCTTTGGCCGGTCAGTTTGAGAGCTTCTATGATGATTTCTGTTGTGCGCTCTGGATCCTGCATAGGCTAATCAATAGAGCATGGTTTTGATGAGGTTAGTTCAGAATGAAAACGTTTCCAAGTTTTTCATCTCACCAAGCTGCCAAACCCGATATGTATGGGAGGTTGCCCGGATTCTAGCCAACTGAGAAGCCCCAAAGGTGGTTTGAAATCGTGTGCTTGATCCAAGAAGCAAAATCCAGTCACATCCACGTTCTCGCCCCAGTCTGATCACAGACAACAGATCAATTTCATGAATCAAGATTCATTCCCACCTTTAGGCTTGGAGGTGTGGACTCCATGTGTACGTCGCGGACACATTGGAGTCTATGAAGCTGCTCAAAAGTGGAAGCGGATCGAGCTTGAGCTGGTCTTTGCGTAGTTTGTTCAACAAGGAGCCAGAACTCAGCCACATAAACACATCCACTAGCTTGTATGTCATCTGTATGCAGCCAGAAAGCAAAACCAAATCTGAAAGAAATTCTTTCAGTGTTTACCTTATTATCCAGTCCTTTGATACGAAGACATGGGTGAAGAATCTCACTGGTTGGCCTGTTACAAGGGGTTGAGCTTTCAACATAAGAATGAAAGCCTTACAACTTACGTCCAGGGGATTGCAGATATCAAATGGAATGGAACATTGAGATACTCAGCAATGTGCACATGACCTGCAGCAACATCATTACAAAAGCTTAAGTTGCTGCAAAGATATAAACAAAATACCGTATGCCATTGGGTTTGCTAGTATGGCTTGTGCTCGGAACGAGGGATTCAGAATGCTAGGCTCAGTGCACGCTGGCAGCACTGAGTTGATGATCGCTCTTAGCTGCTTCCTGTAAATGGAGATGCGGCTGAAACGCAAGGGAAGAATGCATCCGTTGTTCTCTGCCATGTGTAGATGAAATCAATGTCAGAGAAGGATTTAAGCATCAAGCGAAGTACATTGGACAAGTATCTTTGGATCTCCACCCAAGGGATAGAAGTCAAGGCCGCCCTCAATCACCAGATTCCTGAAGTCCACATGTGTTGCTACTCTGATTCGATGGTTGTACTTCTGTTTACAAATGCAGTGATATTAAGATCGAATTGAACTTCTCGACTAGTACTTACTCGCTGCATATGCCTTGCGATGGCAACAATCGGCTGCACATCTCCCCGGCTGCCTACTATGAGAATTGCTATTTCCAAAGGTCTCATCTTTTCACCCAGTGCTTGCTCTATAATCCAGGCAACTCCTTTCTTGAAGTCATGCTAGGTACTTAAGATCTGCCCTATGCTTGGCACATCTGTTTCGTGTTTCTCTTCAACACCCAATAGGACGCAACTTACATGACTGTCATTTACTTTAAAATTATTATTTAAGTCTGAATCTATCATATAAATGTTATAAAAGAAAAATAGAAAGTATTCTTCAAATACCTTTTGTAGTTTTAGGTTTATCCTGTTGATGTTGACAATTATCATGACTTCTAAAGATTTAATATGTAAATGGCGAAAAACAAATTAAAACTCCAATTTACTTCAAGAACTGATAAATTAGTTCTTGCATATAAGATAAAAGAGAATTTAGCTATATAAGTATAAATATAAATATGATTGAGATTCGTTGATATGCAATAAGAATAACCTTATGTTTATTTAAATTTTTGAAAACTATTTAACTTTGAGCCGTTTGATTGAGCACAACTATAGTATCCATTGATTTGATTATTAAATCTACCATTAGAATTGGCAAAAAATCAAATATATGCCACCAAAAAGCTTAAATGATTTTTATGTTACTTTTGCTTGTTTTGAGTTAATTTCTTTAGAATATAGGATAACGGAACTATAAAGAATATTAAATTTATTTTTCTGCCTTAAGAAAAAACAAAGTTAAAGAGAAAGATCAAATAACATTCATAATGAATACATTCTTCTTCCTCTGTTGTCACATGGAAAAGTAATGTATGTTATTTGATTGAGGAAAACCATATTATTCATTGATTTAATTATTAAATCTAGTCCATTTATTTATTATGTATATGTACTAAATATCCCACTGAAAAGCATATTATAAAATATTATATATTTTTTGCTTGTTTTGGGTTTAACATTAAGTTAAGTTCTTTATACTATAGAAGACATCTTCAAGCATACTAAATTTATTTTTCTGCTTTAAGAAGTGATCCTAAAACAAAGTCAAAGAGAAAGATTGAACTTACATGTTATGGAAAAGTGGAAAATTTTACAATTTCTATTTTAAAATGGCAAACCCCTAATATTAATGGTCTTTATGGTGTTGGATAAGTTCATTTCGCTGAAGCACCATTCATGCATAATGGCCTTGTTGTGGGTAGCATGTCTCCCTGGCGTTTTTTTAAATGTGACAAATAAATCAACCAGCTATAAAAATCCTGATTATTTTAAATGAAACAAACTACAACTGAAATTTGACGACTACACAACAGCATTGTGATTCTCCTTTTAACCCAGCTTTAAGTTTAGAACTATCTTCCTCAAGTGACTTTGAGCCAGAAAGTTATGAGAAGCAGCAGAAGCAAGAAGATAGCTTTGCCTGCAGCTCATGAAGCCTGAGAAAACAAAAGGTAGAAAAGAGAAAGAATTTTAGGGCAGGTTGTACGGTTTAGGGTAATGCGGTGCTTTGGATGCGATCCAGATGGAGCGCCGCGGGGAGAGGTGGCCGTCAGACGCTTCTGGGAGTCGATCCCGTCTGCAACTACAGCTCCATGTGTATGTATTGTGCCAAGGAAAGCCGTCACGCCTGCCGTCATAGTGTCCAGAGTTCCCGGCCCCCAGACCTACAAGCGGCGAGTGCAGATAGAGCTTGACACCGTCACGTTGCAGCGGGGGACCGCCTTTCTACACTCAAAGAAAAATAAGCTGATTGTCCGGAGAGTCTATCTCGACTTCGCTTCTCTGGCGATAAACATTCTCTTGGGCAAAGTGAAAGGTCGCAGAGGCAACGTCGACAACTTCATCGTCGCGGGAACACCGGGCACGGGAAAGACTTACTTTGGGTATTACTTACTCATGCAGCTGAGGAACCATCCGGCGTTTGTTAACAGGGAGCTCATTTGGGAAGAGTCTACCATCGATGGTCCTGGCCTGAGCTTTTTCTTTCGAGGCAACGAAGTGGTGGAAGGCGTCGTGGGAGCATTTGACTCGCGGCGCACGGAAGACACAGTCTTCCTCTGCAATGGGCCGCTTCTGAGGCCACAGCATACTCTCAGCCAAGTCGTCATGTTCTCGTCCAACAAGGACGAAGCGAAGTTCACGAGGCAATTTATCAAGGATACTGTCTGTGCAGTCGTTTACATGCCTCTGTGGGATCTAGGCGAACTGGCTCTCCTGTACGCATCTGCTGGCCTGATGAACAATCCTGGGGATTTCACGTCGCTGAAAGGACTGTTTGACTTTTGGGGTGGATCTGCCCGGGCCGTGTTTGACACCTTCGACGATCCAGATTACGTCTCTCGGTTTGAGACTGCTTTGCGAAATGCGAGGAATCATAAAGACCTGGACATTGTGATGGCTTTGAGACAGGACAGGGACAACAGCAGCTACATCTTCCATCTGAGGCCTTTGGACCCGGCATATAGAACGGCAGCTGTGGTTTATGCATCTTCCCACGTAAAGAAGACGCTGGAGGCCGCTAGAAAAATGGAGAGTTTCAGACAGCTAATGGACTACATCAAGGATAACAAGTTCATCATGGACAACGCTGTTTTGGTGGGCCGGAAGTTTGAGTACCTCGTACATTGCCTTTTGGCGTCCACAGGGGTGAAGAAGCTCGAGTTTCGTTCGAGAAGATTGGTCCACACTCAAGATACTTGCAGTGGAGGCAGCAACTTGAAGTTTGATTTCAACGGCAACGTTACTCTCTTCCGCAAGCTCAGGGATATATCAGGCAATCTAGGATATTACGTGCCCGATTACCCGTCGTACCCTTGCTACGATGCTGTGGGAATACTGCGTGACGGATCTGCGTTACTTCTCCAGATTACTCGGAACGTCAGACACGATGCGCTAATGCAGTACGTTGAGGATGCCATGGAAAAGTTCAACGGGAAAGTTCAGTTCCTCTATCTAGTTCCAGATGAGATGTTTGATACGTATCCGCCCCAGAGATTGATGTGGGGACAGACACAGATGACCTGGCCTTGTGAAGTGAGCGTCGTGGGCATTCCAGCGGACTTTCCTGTCAACATTATGCATCAAATTCCATTGTTTGGTGATGGTAAGCTTTTCAGCTCATTTCAGTTAGCTTTGCATGTGTTTGTTTCACTGCAGAGGAGACCCGTGATAGTTCAGACGGCAGTAAGCGTCCGATTGGTGCCGACGCGACCGACCATGGTGTGTGTGTTTATCGTTTGTTTATTTGATTTTGTGTATTTGCACAGGTGGAGCTGCTAAACGTCCTGCCACTGATGGAACCAAGCGTTTGGCTGATGATGGTAAGCATTGTTCATCTTATTTCACACAGTCATTGTAGTTTTGCAGCTGGACCGAGTGAGATATCTACGTAATACCAAGCGTTTGGCTGATGACGGTAAGCATTGTGCATCTTATTTCATATGGACCTCATTGTTGTTTTGCAGCTCAAATTTTGGAATGTTTTAGAATCATGTTTGAATTTTAGTGCGAACGGTTTACTATGCATTTTAGGCACTTCAAACGACTAGCCTGAAGAAAATTGCTGCTTGGCGTCAGGAAGAACCGCTGTGGAGAACAGACTGATCGAAAGCGTCTGGACGCTCGAGGAGCTTTGTGGTACACTACGAAGGTGGACATCTTTTACCACTGGGACATTCGTGACGGCTTGCTCGAGATGCAATAGCATGTGAAAAGAAATCTTTGTTTCTTGTATTTTGTGCTATGGACACAGACTGGAATTCATGGTCAAAAGGTAGAAACTTATATCCGATCGACGAAGAAAATCTCGTGAGCTTCGCATCATGATTTCGAGTGCAAATGCATCCGAGTTCTCTGGCTTGACGCCGAATGGACACGCCAATCCTTTCCGCCAATCCTTTCTGGACCTCATCTGCAGTCGAGCACGAATGTTGGCGTTGGGGAAGTACTGTTTTTCCAAGATCTTAAAAATTCCCTTTCTTGCTACCAGAGAAGAGGAAAGTGAGAGACCAGGCAGAAAGACATTGTGGCCTTATTTTCCTTTCTCCTAAGCCCTCCCCTCCTCTCCTTGGGCAGGAGCATGAGAAAATGAGGGTAGCCGTGTGGCCACACTAGCGGTAGCTGTTGTCACCATGCCTCAGGCTCACGAGGACAGTAGTGACAAGGTTTTTGAGACAGATCTGAAACGCCTAAGGAGGGGCTAGGGTTTATGACGAATGAAATGCCGCGCCAACGCCTTTGCGAATGTAGGGCTGGGATTCCATCGATCGTGTTATGGCGTGAGGAGGGATTTCTTCAGCGAGGTAAGCGGTCCAAACGTGTTCACCTTCCTTGAAGCGTGCAGCACGGCGAGAGAGGTCGAGCTTGGCAGGAGAATTCACGCTGCCGGGATTGGAGATCTTTCTAGCACCGCTGCCTGGGCATGTGCTCGAGCTGTGGAAGCATGGCGGAGGCTCTCATGATCTTTGAGAGCTTGGCAAATCCAGGCTTGGCTCTGTGGAACTCTCTGGTGATGGGATACACAAAGAAACAGGGATAGCAAGCTGGATTTGGAGTTTTTCTTCGCGATGGATCCATTCCACTTGCAACTGTCCCCACATCATCCTCTGCATCAGGTACTCGTCAAACATCTCATCCGGAACTAGATAAACGAATTTTGCACTCTTTCCAAACTTCACCACCGTGTCTTGGACGTGCTGCAGCAGTGTGTCATGGCTGGCTCTTTGAACCATCACAGGAAAACCATCACGAGGCACTCCCACAGCATTGTAGCAAGAACTTAGTGAGCTTAGAGAATCCTTGGAAATGCAGTATCCCGACTTCTTGGTAATGAATAATGATATCCCTGATCTTCTGGAAGAGCACAACATTGCTACCAAAGTTGAATCTCTCAAAGCCAACCACAGCACCTGGATCCAACTGCCAAGTTGAGCTTCTTCACCTCTCGTGATGCCAAGAGGCAATGCACAAGGTATGCAAACTTTCAGCTGACAGTACTAGTATTATCGAAGATGAGCTTGTTGTCCTTGATGTAATCCACTTGATGTTCGAAGGTTTCAGTCTCCGTACCGATCCCCAGCATCTTCTTGATGTACGCGGACACAGACATACTGCCACCTTGTACTCCAGATCCAAAGGCTTGAGATGAAAGATATGGCTGAAACGTTTTGGTTCTCATTTGAAAGCTCCAGTGATGTTTAAACGCTTCTCTTTCCTGGCTTCAAGCAAAGCATCCTGGAATTGACATAACCAATCCAGATTATCAGCTCTGTCTAGCACCGCTTGGGGGAATTCACCCCAAAAACCAAACAGTTGCTCGACTGCAGTGACATCTCTGGGGCTGTTCAACAATCCAGTGGAAGTGTATAGCAGCGTAAGCTCGCAAAGGTCTTAGGATGGCATGCAACCAATCACTGCGTTGCCATTCTCTCTTGTGAACTTCTTTGTAGCTGAAGGTGTGCTATAGTTGAAAAGGACCATTGTAGATATAGACAGTGTCTTCAAACTTTTGTTCGACTGTAGTACACTTTCAACCACGCAATTGTGTTCTCTTCCGACTGGGATGAAATCAAGTACTCAAGATATTTTTGTGGGAGAGAATGGCAACATGATGATCCTTTGTATGCTGCTGTGGGACATTTGCAAGCTCCTGCTACTATATGTGGCTACTGTACTGATGACATGCCCTGGAAATTTCACTGCAGTTGAGCAGTTTTTTCTGGGGTGGATCCCCCCAAGTGGTGGACAGAGTTGACGATCCAGAATGGTTGTGTTAGTTCCATGCTACTTTGCTCAAAGCCAAGAAGAAAAAGCGTTTTGGAGCTTTGAGATGAGACCTAGAACCTTTTCAACCTGGCAATTGTGGTTTGTGCTTGCTTCCACACACGTAAAGAGGATGTTAGGGATCAGTGCCGAGGGTGAGCTATCAGATGGATTACATCACCTAGGATAATGCTGCTATGGTCTGTTGGAGGTTTGTGTACCTTATGCATTCGTGGGAGTTGAAGCTCAACTTTCGCCAGATCTGGGTGCTATGGTCAACTTCAGTAGCAATATTGCGCTTTTCCAGAAGACATCGGGATATATCCTACTATATATACTGTGTGGCAGATCTGTGAGAGTGCTTCGTGGTGGTTCTATAGTGATGTGTGGATAACCTGGAGAGCCAGGTACAATGTGCTATTGTAGCATGTCCAAGACACACTTGATTCGTGTATTTGGTTCTAGAGCAGATGAACAATTAGAAATTTTCAAATTTGTTTAAGTGTCAAGATTTCAAGCTTCTCAATTTCCATAGAGCTAAATATTTTTCTTGCAAGTTCCTATTTAACTCCCATAGCTTCTTAAAATTTAAATTATTTGAAAAAAAAAAAACTCTAATTTTATACATGAAGTCATCCATAAACAAAACATACATTCCAATGGTTGATGGGTCTTGTTTGATGGCCATTACCATCAATATGTAGGCAATATATAATGAAGTTGAAATGCTCCTTAAATGTTATTTTTGCCACTTAATGTGTTAATTTATTTTAGTTTATTGAAGTATATGATCATCTCAGTAATATGAGGCCATTTTATATAATGCTTCACTGTACATGTCTAGAAACAAGAACAAAGATTTCAATGCTTGATTGTTTTAAACAAAGAAGACCAATCCATGAAATACAAAGCAATATCTATATTATACATTCATAATATAATGTGGGAAAAATAAAACATATTCTTACCTTGAGAAAATGAGAAACTAAAAGGTTCGTTGTTGCCAATCCCCTTTTAGAAACAGCTCTGGTGAGACCTAGCTTTTCAAGCTTTTCACGTTTTCCAAGAGAAGATGCACATCCATTGTCTGCAAAGAGTGTGTGTGAAGCTCAAAAGCTTACAAAACAAAGCCGAAACCTTCTTTGCTTGTCGTCTATATGATCAATCAATAGTGGCCACTATTTGATAATGATGTTGTTATCCATAGAAAGCCCATCAATCAATATCACCCAGCCTACAAAATCACTTAGAACTATGGTGAGCTAGAATAAGAGATGTTGTTTTCCTTTAGCTTGGTGCACTTTACCTTTTTTCCTCCAAGACCATTGATAATTTTCTTGGTGTTTCCTGCACCAAGAGAGTATTTTATTTAAGGACACTATCATCCTCTTTATTCCTTACCAACTTAATCATTAAGTTCTACCCACCACCATATACTAATATTAATAGTGGGATTTTGCCACTTATTGGATTGATTTCAATTAAGACCACTTGCTTCTATATATAAGCTATCACCACCCTTGCAATTGACCATTGCACACCACCTTTGCAATTGAACAATTAAATTCAATTGATAGTGGCATTTATGGTGCATGGCACAATTCCTCCTACTCTTGCTACTAATCCTCATGTCCAATTAGAGTTCTTCCATATAAATTTTAGGGATGATGTATACTATTGGTTTGATTACTTTATAGTGATTACCATATATCATCCTTAGGATGATGCTTGGAATTTGCATGAGTTTCCCACATGTCTCCAAGGGACGATGTTATAGTGGTACAATGGTTTGAGTGGAATCACTTTTGTAGATTGGAGTATTCTTACAGACTCCTTCAAATATGCATTTAGACATGCTAACAATTGTGATGATGCTTTTCAACAATTGTATTGTCTTCTTCAAAGGCTATCTAAGACAGTGATGCAATTTAGCATTCGTTTCCAAAGCCTCTTGCTTTGTATGGAGCCAAATATATTGAAGCGAATCAGGTTAAGAATGTTGTGGCCAACACTTCGTCAAGATATTATAAAATTTATGCATGCATTTGCTCCAACCTTTGATAATGCTCTTCATTTGGCACAATATTATAAGACATCACCTCTTCCACTTTTTGCTACACATCCTTCAGCTCCACTTTTTGTAAGAGTGTGGAAGAAAACTCTATAAACACCAAGATGAGCAAACATGGAGAAACTACTATTGCTTAGAGACTTAAGCCTTCTCACATTTAGGTGCTAATTGTCACCATAACCATTTAGAAGTTTGTCCTCCTTGGCATTGGCCTCTTCAATAGTGCTTTCATTACTCTCCATCACACCACCACTTTCTCTTTACTTTCCAACAAGCTCTTTCTTGTATTTCATTTCCATAATTGATAAAAGGGTTTCCACCCCCACGATGGAAAATTGCTCCAAGGGTCACAACCCTAGGATTATTGCTAATCCCCCATTAATTAATCACACTTAGTCTAAAACAAAGAGAAATCTATGATTTTGATTTTGTCTCAATCGCAAGCATACTTTAGCCCCTTGACAAGGAGATGGTCATGTTCCAATAGAGGTTGATGCTGCTTCTGCCCGAGTTCAAGGACAAGGGTGAGGATGTCATGTGGCTGTGATGTTCACTGCTAATTATGTGATGAAGTTAGTCACACTTATTTGCATTGTCGGCATTTTCTGGATTAGTGACTTCCATTTCTTAGATGGAGACCTTGGCGTCAATAGCGTTTTATTGGTGCTGCTGTAATGGAAGGTTTAGACATCAAGATGCTTTTAAGAAATGAGGAGTTGCACCAGTGGTGGAGAGGTCTTGCATAAATAAGTTAGTGACCCTTTTATTTTTCTTTTGGGAGTATCATCAAAGGGTTCATTCGACACTAGTTCATATAATATTTACTTTTCAAGCTCATTTTTATAATAAAAGGTCTTTTATTATTTTCTTTGCATTAGTTGATATAGGCTTGAGTTTACCTTCTATTGCTTAACCTATTGTCACACGTTGCCGTTTATATTTGCATTGAGTTGCAAAGCCAATTTTCATTCTTTATAGCAATAGTTATATATATGTATGTGCACGGGATGAGGTAGACTTAGTTGTACATGTGGACTATCTCAAGCTTGAGTTGCAATCATTGCAGATGGTGTTAAGTCAAACTTTTAACCTCATCCTTGTTATACATTGGTTCATACCAAATGTGACTTTAAAGTTTTTCCCCTTTATCTCATATTTATATTTCTCTCATTCCTTTCATTTCTGTTTTTCTTCATCCCACTACTTCTACCTCTTCTTCCATCACTTTTGTCTCCCCATTATTTCTTTCTATGTATTTATTTTGTTCTATTCTCTTTAGATCACTTTGACGGTCTTTGTGTTGTAACTGTTGATTTGGTCATGAAGGAGTTTGTTAATCTCTTTGAATTTGACATATTGTTTAGAGCCAAGATTGCAACACATCATTCTATTTCAATTGAGGATGTTCATCCAATCAAGGTTCCTATTCGTCTTTGGTCATCAAAAGAGATCAAAATTTTACATGTAAACGTCAAGAAAATGTTGGAAAAGAGTGTTATTCAAAAGTCCTTAGGGTGTGAACCTCATCTTATGATAAGGCTTAATGGGAGTATTTGTTTTTGTGTCGATTACTGTCCATTAAAAGAAGTGACAATCCCTCTTCCTCACATTGTTGATCTTTTGGATTGTCTGCAGAGAAGTCATTGGTTCATCAAGTTAGATTTTATTTTTGAGTATTGATAAGTGCCAAAAGCCAAAAAAGATATCCCAAGACTATTTTGCATATACCATTTAGTTTGTACAAGGTCTTGGTCATACTGTTTGGTTTGAACAATATTTTAGCAACTTTCTAACAGATGATGGATGAAGTTCTTTGCAATATGTTAAAGGTGACCATTGACTTTATCGATAATGTTTTGATCCACTTGGAAGGAATGTGAAAGGAATATGTTTATAATGTTCGTAAGGTGTTGGCTAGTTTAAAACTAAAATGGTTGAAGTGCGTATTTAAGTCCAAGGATACAACTTATCTTAGATACTATATTTCTTGTGAAGGTTTGAAAGTTGATTCTGACACACTT